TCCTGCCACGGCCTGGCCCACGGCAGCAGTCGGGTGCCATGTGACACCGGACGCCTGCGCAATCGAATCGCTGCTGGGCCATGGCGGCACCACCCTGTCAGGCTGCGCAGCCCGAAAGAAGAAGCTTGACAAGTCCTTCCTCCGTCGGCAGCTGGCAGATGCGGCGCTGTGAGTTGGGCCCTCGTGTTGAACCGGCAGCGCGCGCATCCCATTCGTCTTATTGTTCTTCTCATGCGCCTTATCACTATTACCCTTCTCCGCATCCCCCTCCTCCTTCTTTTACTCGGCGTGCTCATGTCGGCATACCCACCACAAGCTTCCTGGCGCCAGAGGGAACTCCACATGCGGTCTCACTGGGCGCCGACGTGTGGCGGACGCGCAGCCAGCCCCCAACCCGGCGAACCCCTCACACGCTTTGCAACTACAGTCTCACTGGGCCCCGACGCATAGCATGACCGCCGTGCCTTGCGGCACCCCTCACACGACTAGTGGCCCCTACAGGGAGCTTCACCTGCAGCCCTGGTGAGGGCGCCCGTGTGGCTGCACCGCGCTAAGGTTGGCACACTCCTCACACGGTTCACGGCCCCACAGGAAGCTCCACCTGAGGGCCCTGGTGCGGGCTCCGACGCATAGCGATGCGGCGCATATTTCGGCATACCCATCACACGTCTCGTGGCCAAACAAGGCTCCACCTACGGTACCAGTGGGCGCAGACGTATGGCGGCGCCACGCCCATTTCAGCACACTCCTCACCCATTTCTTGCCCCGTAGCGAGCTCCACCTGCGGTCTCAGTGAGCGCCGACGTATGGCAACACCGCCACCATTTCGGAACACCCATCATATGATTCGTGCCCCCTAGGAAACTCAACCTACGTTCACAGTAGCAGGGTCCGCATGGCGGCGCCGCCCATTTCAGCGCACCCCTCACGAGGATCGTTGCCTCATATGGCCTTAGTGGTGAGGTCCGCATGGCGGGCGGCGCCGTCCACTCTGGCGTACCATTCGCACGTCTCGTGGCCCCATAGATAGCTCCACCTACGGCCCTGATGGCAGGGTCGGCATGGCGGCGGCGCCCATTTCGGTACACCCCTCTCGAACATCGTGGCCCCATAGACAGCTCCACCTGTGGCCCATGTGGGAGGGTCTGCATGGCGGCGCCGCCAGTTTCACGACATTTCTCACAAGGATCGTGCCCCCATTGAAAAATCCGTCTACGGCCTGAGTGGGAAAGTGTGCATGCGTACTTCCGCCCATTCCGGCGCGCCCCTACGACCCCAGTGGGGCCCCCCCCCGCCCATTCCGGCACATCCCTCACGCGGGTCGTACATGGAGACGGTCGTCAACAGCGTTGCATGAAGCTGCGGCCAGTTGCCCTGGACGGGTGCTCGATAATTCAATGGAGACATGCAGCACCGGCGGCGGCAAGAGCACCACCAGCGCTTTGAGCAGCTGAGTATTAGGGGCGGACGAAGGAATTAGAACCTGAAGAAGCGAGGCAGAAGAACGAGGAGGTCGAAAAGCACGAGGAAGACGCGGAGGACGACGACGCAGGCCATGACGACTCGAAGGAGGACGAAGACGCCATGTGTTTGAAAAAGTAAGGACTGGAAAAGATTAGATTTTCGCTGGCAGCTATCCAGATTCAAAGCTTACGCCCATGCAGGCGCTCCTTGCTGATGAGTACACCGAAGGAGCCTATCCCAAAACTGGCAAAGCATGGATTAACCTGGGCCAAACCAAGGGCTTCGGGGCATATATGTGGAGTCTGTCATGCGGTCGTCGCCATGGACCGCCGGACCAGGCTACGCGGCACACAGTGTATATCACCCGAAGCACGTCATGCTCCTCGAGATCGTCGACGAGATCCATGGTGACGTCAAATGCTTCAAGACGGTCTCCCACAGAGGACATCTCAGACTTGATGCAGACCAGCAAGGGGATTATATTAGGACAGCGCAAACCCATGAGGTGATCATAGAATGGACCCCTCGTATCGAAATAGTACTAGGGAGCTCCATGGTCGAGAAACACGAGTCGATGTAGGGGGGGATGGGCGGAAACGGACCCGGCGTCCGTTGAGAGCGCCACTGTTCTCGAACCAGAGCCTGCGAGCAACATCGTCACCAACAGTGGCACGGGAATCGCGCACACGGGCCGCGGACACGGCCGGCTGATGTCCAATGACAACACACCAATTTGGGCCGCAACGCCAGTCGCGCGCAGTCCTTCGACGAAGGCCACTCGATGTGTTTGAAGTAACCTCCTCCTTCTTTTCCTCCTGCTCCTCCCCCTCCTCCTCCCCCTTCCTCCTTCTCACTTCCTCCTCCTCCTCCTCCTCCTCCTCCTCCTCCTCCTCCTCCTCCCCCTCCTCCTCCTCCTCCTCAACGCGTTCGGGAGGCCCCAGGACTACGCCGAAAGACAAGGAGCGAGCCCCCTGAAAGTGGAGCACTGTGCGGACACGGCACACAGCTCTGCAAACTGCCTTACGGACCACGACTCAGGGCGCGACGAATGGGGAAACCCCGTGCGCTGCACCCAGGTGAGAGCGGGCCAGGTCTGCATGACTGGCTCCGCCGCCAATGCCACAGATGGGGCCTCTAGCAAACAAGGCTGGAGATGTCACCGCCGCCTGCCAGGGTGGCCAGGCACAGCAGGGCCCCCACGCACCGCACTGGGCATAAGCAATGCAGAAGCCACCTGGTTGGACGATCAGAGAACCGCGGAAGAGCCCAAGGAAGTCATCACCCAGCCCACCCGCAGTGCGGAAGAGGACAGAACGTGGAGGAAGAGGGCAGAACCGGCGTGATCGAAGGAAGCAACGAGGAAGACTCCATGGTGTCGGTGGACTTCCGAGTCTGAGTGGCAGCTGCACGCAGAGACCTTCCTGATGCTGCGCAAAAACAAACCAACACTGGGACCACGACACGTACCGAATTCGCGCTGTTGCGAATGCTCACGCGGGTGGATTGCCAAAATGAAACAATGTATATGTCTGCTGCTTGCCGAGCAGCTTTCGAGTCCGAGTGCCAGGGCGGTGGCTTCGGCATGAGATGGGCTGAAATAGCTGCCGTCACAAGTAGGATGCGAGCCTGCAGTATTCGGGTCGGGCGAAAGGGGGGGGATAGCAAAGGGAGGGTTTGAGAATCAGCTCACGTAGCTGATTTTCCCGGCGCCTCCCGGCGCCGGAGGCGGCTATGTATCGAGGAATGGGCCCCTCGGTGAGGCCGAAACCAGCTGCATGCAGCAAATTTCGTAACCCCCCTTTCCCAATCCCCCCCTTTCGTCCGGCCCGAAATGTTGAAGCCAGGTCGGCCTGCAAAAGTGCCCCCGGTGTCACCTGGCGCGCAGTCTCGGTCTGTGGCGTGGGGCTTCACGAGAGCTTGGGCGAGCACGCTGCCACAGGCAGCGGCAGCGGCAGCAGGCTGCGCTCGCAAGCGCCCCGCCCGAACCAAGAAAGTCGTCCAGATGTGTGGCACAGACCGTTACGTGCTCACTGTCGGCTATCTGGTTATTACAGGGCGCCATGAGCGCGCAGCTGTTCCCAGGTGAACGGGACGATCCGACTTCGCAGCAGCTCTAGCGCCCCTGGTTCAACTTGCGTTCATTCTGACTTTAATGCGGAGCTGTGGTTCTCACTCGTCCGATACGAGCATGAACCACGCATGCGAACCGACCTCGCCGTCGCCCTTCATCTGCTTCGACTGGCAGCTTCCCCGCTACACCGATTGCAACTTATGGCTCCCCCGTTGCTCCCAATGCAGGCTCTGCGCAGGGTTCCGACACACTGCGAGTCTCCGTTTTGCCGCGCGCAAAAGTGGCTCAGAACTGCTCTCTGGTGCACTGGTGACCCTCCACACATTAAGAAAACGTGCTTTGAACCCTCTCATGCAGAAAGCAAAGAAATACACCAATGGGAAGGATGAACGAGGAGGCGGAGAAGAACGGCAACGGCGAGGGTACCCTCTTCAGTCCACCAGGCACCCGGCGGAAGAGAGTTGGAGGCCTAGAATTTGGCACCGACACCAACACAAGGAGTTGTCTCCACAGGGGGAAGATGATCCTAGATGTCGGTGCTGGTGGCAATAGTTCGGTCACCTTGGCAGCAAGAATATTACCACCATCACCGAGATCGGGATCGTCTTCCCTCGGTGGAGGCACACCGCCGATCTTGGTGTTGGTGTCAACCTCTAGGCCTGCGAAAGAGCGGGCCTTTTTACTGTGCAGACACCTGGTGTTTGGCGGCGAGCCCGGGGGGGAAGTGAGAAGGGGCGGGCCTCCTCAGAAGGCTCGGGAAATCCCCCGGGCCTTCTGAGCGGTTTTCGAAGCCTTCCCCGGAGAAAAAGGAACAACTTCTCAGAAGGCCCGAAGGCTTGGGAGAAGCCTCTCTCTCTCTCTCTCCTCCTCCTACTCCTACTCCTACTCCTCCTCCTCCTCCTCATCCTCCTCCTCCTCCTCCTCCTCCTCCTCCTCCTCCTCCTCCTCCTCCTCCTCCTCCTCCTCCTCCCCTCTTACTCCTCCTCCTCCTCCTCCTCCTCCTCCTCCTCCTCCTCCTCCTCCTCCTCCTCGCCCTCTGGGAAGGCCTTCCCCTCCTCGCGCCCCTCCCCCGCTAGCCGCCGAGGTAGGCCTCCGAGGCCCCCAGGAAGCACGGCGGCGCCGGAGCGCGGGCTGCCCCCGCCTTCCCCCCCCGAGAGCAGGACGGCGCGCGCGCGCGCCTCCGAGCTGCGCGGGCGCAGCAGCCGCGGGGGGCTCGGCCACCGCCTGGCGGGCGCTGGCGGATCCGAGTGTTTGGAGGGGGCGCGCAGGGGTGGAACCAAGGGGCCCCCTTGCGTCGCTTCCGGCTCGGGCCCTCACTCTCGACAGGAATAGCCATATCGTGCGCCGTTGATCGGTAGACCCTTAGAGTGGCCCCTCACGAAGCGTCCTTCCCTGGAGGTTCCCAGGCGCAGTGGTTGAAAAAAAAGGACCCGAGCTTTGGGGGGGTAGTGGATCTTCCGACGGGAAAGGCACGTCGTGCATTTCCAGCCGTGCGCATTTCGAGGTGTGCTCGTTTCGAAGTCTTCCTTTCTGGTCGTGCTCATGTCTAAGTGTGCTCGTTTCTCTAACTGTTCCTGGCCCCCGATAGTGGCCAGGAAGAGGCCCAGGATAGAACAATTTAGAAATGAACGGCTCCTGGCCCCCCAAGATAGCAAAGCACTTTCGAAGGTTTGGACATGGACAGTGTGGAGGTGTCAAAGGGAGGGTGGGGGGGGGGAATGGAGGAGGCAGGCATAGAGGCCTCCTAGGTGCGGTCCGCGTGGATGGGGTGGAGGGGTCGCGCCGCATCGCCAATGCATCGCCGATGCATGGGCGATGCATCGGCGATGCATCGGCGACGTCGGCGACGCATCCGCGACGTCTGCGTAAGGAAAATCGGACTCCGCATCGAGCCGCATCGTCGATGCATCGGCGATGCGGCGCGATCCTCCGACCCCATCTGCCCGGACCCCATCGAGGAGGCCTAGAAGGCAGGAGGCGAGAGGCTGGATGGTTGAGAGATCTGGCCATTGCTTGCACTCGGCATTCCCGCGTTCCCCTGTGGCCACATGGCCCAACCCGTGGTGGCCTCATAAGAGGCCCTATCCGATCTCAGTCGAATTGCCTAAGAGACCATTGGGGCCACTACTGAAAAAGACATGGGGAGATTGAGGAGGGAAGGGATGATAGAGGATACCACGTCGTCAGGGGAAGTGGTAAGACCGGAATATATGGAGAAGAGGAAGAGGAAGATGAGGATGACGATGCGCTGGTTTGGGAAGTATTCGCGGATGGACTGGCTGGCACACACAAGCGTTGTCAAGAGCCAGAATGTCGTTGCAGCTTGAGCGAGGTAAATTATGGCGAGGTTGTCGGCACATATCTTGCTTACAACACTGTGCATACATGGCCAAACACGCTTGCGGCCCACATCCATTGAATGCACACTGCTGGTATCTTTAGTATTTTCGGGCGTGCCAGAAATATCCCCCCCCCCGATATTTGAACACGCTCAACGCTTGCAACAATATGACACGTCACTGGCCGTGTGCACCAGAGAAAGCTGTTAAGGTCGATGTACTAGTGCGCAGAAACTTGAAAAGGCCATAGCGCTGCTGTTTAGGCTTACTGTCTGGTCCCAAGTGTCAAACCAATCCGATCCAGGGCACTTACATCGGCTTGTGTTTGTCAGGCCCTTGCTTTCGTCGTTCGTCTCGACTGCTGTGAAGCAGTACTCCGGTCCCCCCCGACGCATTGAGCCCAACACAAACATCTTGTTGGACCAGGTCCCTGCGTCCTTGGCACTCCACACAGAATGTTGCAAAGACCCGGCTTCTGGCGGCCGCCTTCCGTATCCCCCCACCGCCGCTCGCACCCCGCCCCCCCGCCTCCTCTCTCCCAAGAGCCCCCAAAGCGCGGTGGCGGACGCGCACGCTAGATCCGCCACCGTGCCAATGGGTGGGCTTGTCCTGAGGTCCTTTGCCCAATCCTCTAAGCCGCAATCGTCACTCGTGAAGAATATTTCAGTGGCCTGGACCCCAAATGGCCAAATACCTCGGGCCTTGTTGCGTGTCCCCTGGGGCTTCGTGCGGCTTCTCGTGTGACTTGCTCGGAGCCAAGAGGTCCCCAAGACGGGCTAAGAGGGTCGAACAGGCCCCCGAGACAATCCGTGAGGGCCCAAAGTCGCCGAACGGTCACTCCAAGACGCTCAAGATGGCCCCCAGACAGCCCAAGAGTCCTCCAAGCGCCCCAAGAGGCCTCCAAGAGGCCTCCTAAGAGGGTCCCAAATGACCAAAATCAGTGATTTTCCGCCTGTGTTTGAAGGGTTCTCGCTTTTTCGCATTTTCGGCTTCCCGACGATCCAAGACAGCCCACGAGGGCCCAAAAATCGCCCCAAGGCGGCCCCAGAGGCCCCCAAGAGGGCCCCAAGACAACTCTAGAGGGGCCCAAGAGGGCCCCAAGACGGCCCCAGAGGAGCCCAAGACAGCCAAAGAGGGCCCAATGACAGCCCGACCAGGGAGCCCAAATGGTGAGGGGGCCCGAACGGACATTTCGAGCCCTCGGCCCCGAGGGGCCCCCGGGAGGTCCCAAGAGGCACACTTGGGCTCCAGTGTCGCGCTCAGTGGTTGGACAGAAGTACTTCTAGACCAGCGGTTTGCCTATGCAAGAGGCTGTGCAAACGCAGTGCGTCGACACGCGTGTAGATATGCCTGAGGACAGAGATGCATCTTGATATCTCGCGGGCAGACGTAACATATGATGGGTGAAAGGCTGCAACACTTGCTTGTGTGTGTGCGTGTGTGATCACTCTCGCTCATTTGGACCACGAGTTCCCCCCACTGAACAAGTTTCAGATCCGTGTTTGCACGCGTGCTGCAAGCAAAGAGCAAGCGCTGCGCGAGAACTCTGGAGTCTGCGTCGTCGAATGGCAAAACCGATACGCATCACTCAAACAAATGGGTCCCCAGCATATCTGATCGCACAACTCGTGCGCACTGCGGTGCAGGTTGGCACTGGGCTGGGCAACTAAGCCGACGACTTAAGAAAAATGATATTGGTACTGTCTCCTCGAGGCGTGTACTACGACTTGAACTATCCCACTTGCTCGTCTCCCCTCCCTCCGATCTCGTCTCCCAGCTCAGAAATGCACGCTGCTGCAAGCCCACAGCCTGACTGCATTAGATGAGACTCGCGTCGCTGGGCCAGGCTCGAGAAATGCTTCTTGCTGGGTGCAGTCAACAATGGCTTACGCACTGATTGGTTAACGGTCGCCGTGTGCTGGCAATGAATGGTCAATGTGCGTGGCATTTTGTGTCGTACTCCCTAGATGTGCGATTGGGCGAGCGCAACCAAACCAGCATTTGAGCCTTGCACAAGTCTGGCCGCGTGGCGCAGGCTGCTTCTCTGCTGCCAGACTCCGGACCACTCCCTGAATCCTCCTCAGAGGCTGAACCGGATCAACTAGTGATGGATATGGCTTCGTAAGCGGGCGCTCACTCGGTAGTAAGCAAGTAGGTAATGAGCAGTGGGTAGGTGGGGATGCAAGCAGCTAGATGGATAGACCAGTCAGTCGTAAGACAGACCTCAGGTAGGTGCAATTCGTACGATATACTCAGATAGTCGGCAGTAGGTGGGCAGCCATAAAAAAGTAGATCATGGCTTAGGCGCAGGGAGGGACATCAGGAGGTCTGGAGGACGAGGCTACATGCAGCCTAGATTTCGGTCAGTAGCATGTGGTACTGCTCCGAGCAGCACTCACTACCAGAGGACTGCTGGGCCCCAGCAAAGACTGTGCCACCATTGGCCACAACTTCTCCAAAGACGTACGGAACCTGCCCGCTCGCTTACCTTGGGAGAAACCAACAAGGACCGATACCGCGATACTGCTACTCCCTGGACCTCTCCCAGGGTGCGTTCCGACCAGAATGTCGAGGCGAATCCAACGCTGGCGACGAGGGCCTGCCAGGAGGGCGAAGGGGGGGAGATAGCAAAGGAGGGGTTGGAGGATCAGCTCACGCAGCTGACTTTCCCGGCGCCTCCCGGCGCCGCAGGCGGCATTGTATCGAGGAATGGGCCCCTCGGTGGGGCCGAAACCAGCTGCATGCAGCAAATTTTGTTAACCCCCCTTATTCGGGGATGGACAGACCTCCCTTTAGTAAAACGTGGTTTAGTGAAAACTACCTGAGGCCCAAACCTGGCGGGCGCAAGCCTGGAAAATATCGGACAATTCACTAATCGACGTGTCACTGTTAGGGGTTCTGACTTTCCCAATCCCCCCCACTTCGTCCGGCCCGGCAGGAGGGCGAAACGGGGGGAGACGGGCGACGGTGGCGGCGGGGGCACCCCTTCCTCCTCAGACCCGCGGCCACTGCTGCCTGTCCTGGGACGGCAGTCTGGCGCACTTCTCGGGGATCTGCTGACCAGGGTCAAGTCGGGCCTGTCCCCCCACAGGGGGGATTTTGGACGAAAAATAAAAAATAATCCAAAAATGCCCTCAAATAATCAAAAATACTCCAAAAATAGTCCCAATATTATTTTTTAACTATTTTTGAATATTCCCCCCGTAGAGGGACAGGCCCGACTTAAGACCAGGGTCGATCCAAACCTGGGGCAGTCAGGCCTGGCAGAATCCCGCAGGATCCTGCAGCCAGGCCCAGGTCTATGCAACCCTGGCTCCGCAGGATCCTGCAAAATCCAGCGCTCTGACTGACCCTCGTGTGCATTGACCCCCGTCTCTTGAGCCCTGGCAATCTTGGGCGTCGCTTACTGGGGGGGCGATGAATTGGGAGGGGAGGACAACATACTTTTCGGACCCTAAAGGCCCCCTTTGGGGGCTCAAGGGGCCCCTTCAGGGGCCCCTTCAGGGGCCCTCAAGGGCCCCTTTTCTGCAGCCCTCGCTGCCCCCTTGTTTGTCGCCCCCTCATTACGCGACGCACACAATCCTCGGCGGGGCCAAGGACCCCCGTTCCCAGACGTCCACCGATCTGATTATTTCAGCCCGTGGCCCCAGATCTCCCGACCCCTTCCCTGGGATGGTTATTCGTCCCGGATACATTCTTGATTGTCCCCAGGCCCGAGAACGGTTCCCGGAAGCCGAAATCCAGGAAGAACCGCCGGATTGAAAAAATCAGATCCTCGGATCTTTTTATATTGCATCTTCGGGTCTGTCCCGTCGTGCCGCGCTCCGCGTCGAATCCGTATCGAATCTATGTCGAGCGAGTCGAATCCGTATTGAATCCGTGTCGGATCAGCGTCGAATCCGTGTCGAATCCACGTCGAAATCCGCGTCGAACCCACGGCGGAGTACAAGAATAGACTGCCATTCACACGACAGGACAGGTCCCCCGCAGACGCAGAATGAATTTCTGGATCTGCATCGACCCCCGTCTCTTGAGCCCCGAGCCTCAGCGCGGGCACTGCCCTCGGCGGCGCCCGCGGCCGGGCGCGCGTCCAGCAGCCGCCGCAGCGAGACGACCGCCGGCGGCGCTGATCGGAAGCGGCAGGGGGTGGGCATGCAGTAGAGCCAACCCGTATCAGAAGGATGCGCGGTAAGGATGCAAGGGCCTTGGAGGGACCTGTTGACGTGCGTTTTCAAACGAGGTCGGCCAGCGAAAGTCGCTAAGGATGGGCCGAGGGGGCAAGGATGCGGGGGTACCCTTGGGAAGGTTGCCCATCCTGACTGTGCGAGTCGACTGTATGGTAGGTTCGCGCGGCGTCGGCGCGCGCAGAGGTTTCTGACACCGCGCCGATCGTTCCGCCTTGCATCGATCGCGGCCCCGATCATTCAAGAGTTTGGACGCCCGAAATGCGTACGGAAAACATGGGCGCAATGCCCAACAACAAATGTTGTCCCAAACCAACAGCGGCCGCTGTTGGGCAGGCGGCCTCCTGTCTCAAATGGACACAGGCCGCGGCGGCGCGGACAGCGAGTCCTGTTCACAATGAACAGGGACCGCTGTTGGGCATTGTACCCATTATTTCCGTGCCCACTTCGTTCGTGCAGATCAAGGGTGGATTCAGATTGCCGCGTCCCTCGGCGCTCCCGCGTCGCAGCGCTATGCCTTGAGCGCCTTCGTCGGCGCCGCCGGCGTGCCGACATCCCATGTGGCTACCGTACGGTCAGAACTGATGCACCGCTGGGGGATACACCCCTGCTTCGAGTTACACGTCGGCCAGCAGAAGTAGGCAAAACTAGTGAAGCAGGAAGGCGGATAAAACAGATTTGGGATCAGTCCCCCCCCCGACCGAGAATTCGCCGTCCCAGCGGGCCCAAGGCGTGCTAAGATCTCTGGTCATTGGTTAAATATTATAGCAATATTTCTAGTTTGCGCGCGCGGGGCGGTTCCTGGGGGCTCCTGGACGAAAAATATCCCGACCAACCCCGACCAACCCCCGACAGGTCCCCGGCAGGTCCTCGGAGCGTGCCAAAAGGGCCCCGAGACGCCCCGGAGACAGTCCAAGAGGGCTCTGAGTCACCAAAAGATCGTTCCAAGACGCCAATCATAGCCCTCAGGCAGCCGCCAAGAAGCCCCAAGAGAGTCGCAGGAGGCCCTCCAAGAAGGTCACAAGAAGCAAAAATTGCGCCACTCCCTTAGGATAACGTCTATTTTTCGCATATGTCATTTTTGGTGTTTCACAGCGTCCAAGACTGCCCAAGCGCCCCCAAGATCGCCCCAAGAGGGCCCAACAGGCCTCCAAGATAAGCCCAAGAAAGCCTCAAGACAGCCCAAGAGAGCCCCAAGACGCCCCAAGAGGCGCCCAGGATCCCCCAAGACGGCCCCAAGAGAGGGAACTCCACATGACATTTCGAGCTTTCCGATCCAAAGACGCCTCCGAGACCGCGAGCGGGTTCCCAAGAAGCCTCCAAGAAGCTCCCAAGGAGCCCAAAACGGAACCCTAAGAACCCCCAAACGGCCCCCAAGACGCCTCAAGAGGCTTCAAAACTGCCTCCAAGAGGCTCCCCAGGCGCCTGCCGAGACATCCAAACAGCGCCTCATTGACAACAAGCTCTCACGCGCACGGCAGATATGAGGCTGTATGGTGCAGAACCCTGTCAGAGCACTCCCCAGAGGGTCCTCCGAGACAATTTTGTTTGATGTGTCTTCGGCGTTTCGTTCGTGTCAGCGCTCTGACTTTCTTCGCTTCCCAACGCTGACAGGCTGCCCCAGCTGCCTTCCAAGAGATTCCCACAGCGCTGCATTGACACCGAGCCCTCGGGCAAACGGCAGAGATGAGGCTGCATGGTCCCGAACCCTGCCAAAGCACTCCCCGGAGGTTCCCCTGAAACAATGTTGTTTAATATTTCCCTTTGGTTTCTCATTGATTCCAGCGTTCTCACTTGATCCGCGTCCCAACACTGACAGGCTGCCGCTGCAAGGTCCCGAACCCTGGCAAAGCACTCCCCAGAGAGTCCCCCGAAACAATATGATTAGATTTTCCTTACGCTTTCCATTCATTTCAGCGTTCTCACTTTCTCCGCTTCCCAACACTGACAGGCTGCCGCAGCTGCCTCCAGGATCGTCCCAAGTCGGCCACAGACGCTCCCAAGAAGACTCCAGAACGGCCCCAAAGAGCATCAACACAACCCACAAGTGATCTCTACCCCTCGGCCACAAGAGGCCCCAAGAAACCCTACCCCTCGGCCACACGAGGCCACAAGAAACCCCACAACTCTCCCCAAAAGGCCCCGCAGAGGCCGCCAAGAGGCTGCGAAGAAACCTACAAAAGCATCCATGAAGCATTCTCGCCCACAGCCCGAACGCGGTGGCGGGATGGTCCGACAGCCACGAGCTCAGTCTCCCAAGGAGGCCTCTCGCCCGTGTCATCGAATCCGGAGGCCCACACTTCAAACGACCACTCGAAAAGCCGACAGCGCTGCGACAAGATGGGCCGGCGGAATTTGCGAAGCGAGTAAATAACAAACACATCCAAAGCATATCGATTGCTTAAATAGGGGGGCGCTTGAAATAAACAGGGATCTGGGAATCCAAACATACCTAGTCTTAACGACCCACGGGCAAGACGGTTCTATGTTAAGAACATCGGCGTCACTCCAAGCGTTTCTCGGACAGTAGTCCAAGTCCAGAAATGCAAGAACACCCCACGCAAAAGGAAGCTCCAAGATAACGCCCAGGGTCCAGTTCAAATTGTTGGTTTTCTTGTGCGAAATCTGGAGCCCACGAAAAGTTACGTTGTTGCCTAAGATGTCTAATGAGTTTAGCGGTACAGTCAAACTGGCAGTCGGTCGGGGGGCGCACGGAGCGCGGGGGCGGTGCGACTCTCGTCGCGGATACCTTCGGCTGAGCTAACCAGCCTCGAACTTATCCCTATCCCTAAGATGGGCGAGCAAAAAGCGAGGACGATGTTCGGGATAGGCCCTCAGAAACTGAGGGAATCCTTAAGATCGGCATCGAGGCGAGGCGATGTCAAACATAGGGATAGGGATATGCTTCAAACTGGTGATGAGCCAACAAAACATGTACGACAGGCTCACGTCGCGATGGCGTCGGCGCTGGCCTCTGACACCGCGTGCATCGGTCAAGACTGAGCGAACGCGGCTCCCCGAGACGGCACATCGTCCGAGATCGGTCGATTCCAGTCCACTGGCGGAGTTCGACCTGGAACGCCCGCGCCGGCGACGCCGCCGCGTCATCGCGGTGCGACCCTATCGTACAGGTCTCTGCTGTCATAGACCTGCACCTCCTCCTCCTCCTCCTCCTCCTCCTCCTCCTCCTCCTCCTCGTGTTTCACTTGAAACCTCCAGGAAGTGCTTGCCCTCAGGGTTCAGTCGGGCGTGTCCCCCTACAGGGGGACTCTCGACGAGAAACAAAAAATATTCAAAAATCCTCCAGCATGGTCAGAAAATAATAGAAAAATAGTCCCTAGACTATTTTTGAACCAATTTTTGAACATTCCCCCTGTAGAGGGACAGGCCCGACTTAACCTTAGGGGTTCGTGCTTGGTCTCCGAAGCTTTGGCGCCGCTTGCCTTCTCGTGGCCTCCATGGTTCCCCACCACTGCTGCTGTCTGTTGTACCTTTTCTTGTGGCCACCTGGATTCTTATAGCTCTCTCCTCCTCAGTCGGCCATGTCTGAAATACATGTTCGCATGTCCTTGCTTCCCACGGCTATCCCACCCAACCCAGACCCTGCCTATGGCACGTTTTCCAATGGCCGTTGGCTGACCATGGCCGTCCGCCCCAACAGGCCCTTGGCGGCACAGATTGCACCCCAGAGATTCATTCTTGTCTGAATAAAGAATAGGCTCTACCCCCCCCCGGCGTTATCGGTCCCCCTTTTCGGGTATGTAAATCAAATATGATCCTGACCACATGTCCATCCGAAAATAAGAACTTACACTATCTCAGGGGGGCCGGTATCGGCCCTCCTGAGGTTCCCTTTTAAAAACGATGCGCGGGGACATGTTTTGCTCTAACATAAGACTTTCTCGCGAATCCCTTGCAAACAATGGGACGAAGTGCACACGCGCGCGCCGTCGCGCGCGCATGCCGAAATCCTCCAAAAACCGTCGGTGCCGGAAGGATTTCGCAATCGAGCTTCAAAAAAAAAACATACAAAAACACAGGACTTCGCAAGACTGAATTGCTAAAAAAGCTTCCGCGCGAGCTCTTGCGAAATCTGAAGAAAACCATAGGCTCTGCAAGATGTTCACACAATGCTACCAAACAGGCTTCGCGCGCGCATGTCGAAATCTGTCGAACGCCCTTGCGCGTGTGCCGTCGCGAGAATCCTCTGCAAAAAAACAGGACGACGTGCTGCCGCGCGCGTCGTCGCGCGCGTATGCCAAAATCCTTCAAAACCCATCGGCTTCGGAAGGATTTCAAAATCGTGTGTCCAAAACACCTACAAACACACAAAGTTTCGCAACACGGATTTTCAACAAAAGCGTGTGCGCGCGCTCTTGCGTCGTCGTCGTCGTCGTCGCCGTCCTCTCTCCTCCCGCGTCGTCGTCGTCGTCGCCTACGTCGTCCTCTCTTTTTCCTCGTGTTCGTCTTGGCGTCGTGGTCGTTTCCGTCGTCGCTGTCGCCGTGGTCGTCCTTCCTCCTCCTCCCTCGTCGTCGTCGTCGTCGTCGTCCGTCGTCGGCGTTTCGCCGTTGTCCCTCCTATTTCGTCGCCGTCGTCGTCGTCGTCGTCGTCGTCGTTGTCGTCGTCGTCTTCCCTCCTTCCTCGTCGTTGTCGTCGTCGGCGTCGCCGTCCTTCCTCCTTCTTCGTCGTTGACGTTGTCGCCGTCCTCCCTCCTCCCTCGTCGTTGTCGTCGTTGTCGTCGTTGTCGCCGTCGTCGTCCTCCTTCCTCCCTCGTCGTCGTCTTCGTCGTTGGCGACGTCGTCGTCATCTTCGTCGTCGTCGTCGGCGTCGGCGTCGTCGTCGAAGTCGTCGGCGTCGACGTCGGCGTCGTCGTCGTCGCCGCCGTCGTCGTCGTCGTCGTCGTCGTCGGTGTCGTCGTTGTCGTGATCGTCGGCGTCGTCA